ATATATATAATTATTATTATTATATATATATATTAGTGCTGGGCAAGTTAATGCATTATTATCGCGTTAACGCATTAATTAATTAAGGGCGACAATTGATAAACTAAAGCAACACAAGCTAACAGATGCTACAGAGAAGTGGAGACAAACTGCAGGTTAGTGTTATGGAAGATGTCGGTCTGAGGAACGTTCTCAAGGTGCATTCACGTCGTGTTTGGTGTGAACGCAGCTTTAGGATCTCAACGAATGACCTCAAGACGCACCGTCACCAGAAGAATACAGACCCATCTGCTTCCTCAAGAGAACGAACCCATGCAAGTGGGACATACTAGACCAGGGGTCGGAAAACTGCGGCTCCGGACCTGCATGCGTTATCTAAATGATCTCCGTCCAGACTTAAACGCCTGAAATCGAATATCACGTGACTCTTCACGTACACTGGGCATGCGGGTGGGTGCCGGTGTAAACAGGAAGTTGATTGGTTGCTCAAAGCTGCTAACATGACTTCAGACAGCCGCTCCGTAGGTCTGATATCGCCGCTGGACATGCTGCTCACTAATCACTCCAATAACAGCTGCTTCCTCCGTAATAATGCAGACTTTAACTGGACAACAGCTGCTAGTAAAGACAACACGGTCAGTAATACCTGACCTTAAATAAAAATGTTTTCATATTTTGTCAACTAAAATGTGCGTCACATGCTATTACACCTGTCAAGAGCTTTTCCCTGCAGGTGGCTAATCATGATTTTCAGACCCCCGCCCTCTGTAAACTATCAATGGATAAATCCAAAAAAAGAAAAGTCATGGAGGAAAATAGAGAGTTTAATTCTGCGTGGACGTATTCATTTGCTTTCACTGCCAACGATGCTGACTTACTGTATGCTTGATATGTGCAAACAATATAATGTTGAAAGACACTTCCAGAACAAACACAGCATTTACTGAAAAGTGTCACGCTGGAGATGAACTCTCCTCTTCATAAGAGTTTGATATTGCTCTAACAGGTAAAATAGCAATAAAATGTCAAGAATTGTCTTTA